ATAAACCTATTACAACTAGAAAAGAAAATTAGAAAAGATAATTTAAAAAAGACATTGTAGTTGTGATGTACTACATCACATCCAAGTATGTAAATATTTTAGCTGTTCAGCAACATGGCTCATTTACATATAAATGATCTGACATCCTGGGGTTGAAATCATTCTCTTCAGACAATCGTGCTATAGTCTGCAAGAAGATATGTTATTATAATTTTTGCTACCTTGACCCAGATATTGATTTAACTAATTTTGGACTTGTACTATGTTGGGCTGCTTGTCATACTAGGAAACTGATACTCCAGAATCAGCAGTTGCCAATCTCTTCGCATCTGCCAAAAGGAACCGTGCACAATTTAGTCAATATGGTGCTGTAACCAACTGCTTGCAGCAAATGCCTTCTGAAGCACAGATGCGGGTATTTACTGGATTACCTTTTCTGCCGAGGCTCAGGTGGAGATGGGGCCAATATCTTCATCCATTAATAACTACTAGTTCATGTTTTAGGTCACAGCTTCTGAGGTTCAAAGTTTTTTGGTTTCTGGAAGAAAGAAAGAAGCTCTCCAATGTGCACAGGAGGGTCAGTTATGGGGGCCTGCCCTTGTTCTTGCTGCACAATTTGGTGATCAGGTTCATCGCCATCTCTCTCTCTCAATGGAACACCTTGAGTCTTTCTTGGCCCATTCATGTCTTTCTTTAACTTTCTACTTATAACACGCTGCAGTTTTATGTCGATACTCTGAAGCAAATGGCACTTTGCCAGTTGGAAGCTGGGTCACCTTTGCGAACGTTATGCCTGCTAATTGCTGGTCAACCAGCTGATGTCTTCTCAACAGATTTCATGGCTAGTAGGAACATGTCTGGTGCTCTGAATGTTCCTCATCAACCTGCACAAGTATGAAGTGAATGTTTCTTTTGGAGAAATGTTTATATTGAGATCATCTGTGCAATATCTTTCCTTCATCACATGTTATGCTCCCTTGTCCCTTTGAGGTCAATTGTATGAAGTGATTGTTGATGGTGGTGGTGTACTACAGGAAAATTTGCAAGATTCTTTTGACTTGCATGCTTTATTTCTCAACTTCTTCTATCATTTTTGCACTGTTTTATCGCAATCTTGAAATGATGAATTTTGTTCTGTTTCATTTGGCAATTTTACACCAGTTTGGTGCCAATGGCATACTTGATGGCTGGGAAGAGAATTTGGCAGTGATAACTGCAAATAGAACGAAAGATGACGAACTTGTGCTTATTCATCTTGGAGATTCTTTATGGAAGGACAGAAGTGATGTATGTTTTGGTTAATTTTTTTGACAAGTACCTTCAATCTAAACATTATCTTCGATACTTTTATGAATATTTTTATTCAGATAATTGCTGCCCACATATGCTATTTGGTTGCCGAAGCAAGCTTTGAGTCATATTCGGACAGTGCAAGATTGTGTCTTGTCGGTGCAGATCACTGGAAATTCCCGCGAACTTATGCCGGTCCTGAGGCTATTCAGGTTGAACAAAGTTGTTTATCATTAATGCATTATTTTGCTGTGTTGTTGCAAAAATAAAAGATAAGAATCAAATAGCAGAATGAAAAAGGAATTCATACTCGGAAAATTCTTTGAGGTGAAAGAAAAATAAAGGATAAGAATCAAATAGAATCATAAGAAAGTGGGAAAGGGAACTTGTTTTTCAGTTTACTCTTACGTTCTCGATTTTATATTCCTACCATTTTGTCTTTTTAAGTTGCACATGTTAATATAACCGATTGAGTATACTCTGTATTTGTTTTGCTTCTTGTTTTAAGCCCCACAAGCGCACAATAATGCCCCTCAAATTATGTGCATGTGTTTATATGGTTTTTATAATACCATATATTGTTAATGATAGAGAAAAATTGCATACAATAATTTATTCACAAGCCCAGGCATTGGGCCCAAGCTTGTGAGCAGGTGATTACCTATATTTGTCGTGTCACTTGAAGAGTCATTATGCAGCAGTCTACGATTGTGATTTTTTATCATACTGATGATGAGCCTATGGGCATATTTGACCTTTGCATTTTTTGACAGAGGACAGAAATACATGAATATTCAAAAATGCTTGGAAACTCCCAGTTCGTTCTCCTTCCATTTCAACCATATAAACTTGTATATGCCCACATGTTGGCAGAAGTTGGGAGATTATCAGATGCATTAAAGTATCTCTCTCCATTTTTATTTTTATTTTAAGAATATTTTGCATTTGTTTTCTCAGCAAAATCATTTTATTTAGGTACTGTCAAGCAATATTAAAATCACTTAAAACTGGTCGATCTCCTGAGGTGGAGACACTGAGACAATTAGTCTCATCTCTTGAGGAAAGGATAAAATCTCACCAACAGGTATTTTTTCTTCTCCTGATTTGTATCTCTTCTATATTTTATAGATGCCTGTAAGTTGAACTACTTGTTGCAGGGAGGATTTTCCACAAACTTAGCTCCAAAGAAATTGTATGGTAAATTACTCAACCTTTTTGATAGTACTGCTCATCGTGTTGTTGGGGGCCTACCACCACCCGCTCCAACAAATGGCAATGTACAAGTCACTGAACACCATCAACAATCAGTGGGACCTAGGGTATCAGCCAGCCAATCAGCATTAGCCATGTCATCATTAGTTCCTTCTCAATCCACTGAGCATATAAATGAATGGGCAGCTGACAGCAACAGAATGACCATGCATACAAGAAGTGTTTCCGAACCTGATTTTGGAAGGAGCCCGAGACAGGTTTATTTCTGTCTTAAGTGCCTTTATTTTCTGTCTAGAGACCTGTTTGATTGAGGTACATGTTCGAATAGACTTATGATTTCGGTGTGTATGGTCAGGTTGATTCATCAAGGGAAGCGAGTTCTGCCAGTGAGCAAGACAAAACACCAGCAGGCGGTTCCTCTCGTTTTGGGCATTTTAGTTTTGGATCCCAGCTATTCCAGAAGACTGTAGGTTTAGTAATGAAACCTCGTCAAGGCCGTCAGGTAGTTTTCTGTGTCCATTTTACGATAAATATGGCTTGATGATTTGTCTGATTTAAAATGTAGCTTCTGTTTGCAATTTCTGTTCAATTTTCTTATAGTTTGCAATTTTTTTTAGGCAAAATTGGGTGAAACAAATAAGTTTTATTATGATGAAAAACTTAAAAGATGGGTGGAGGAAGGTTCGGAAGCTCCAGCTGAGGAAGCAGCCCTTCCACCTCCACCACCAACTGCTGTTTTCAACAATGGAACACCAGATTATAACTTGAAGAATACACTGCAAAGTGAAGCTTCTTACAGCAATGGAACTCCAGAAATTAAAACCCCGAGCACCCTGAATAGTAATTCAAGAATGCCACCACTTCCACCCGCCTCCAATCAGTTCTCAGCACGTGGAAGGATGGGGATCCGATCTAGGTAAATTAGACATTGACTTTTGTGATTTATCATGCTCAACTTGATAATTTTTCTCACTCCTTGGATAAGATTAGAAAGGCAAATACTTGGTATTTCTCCTGTGAGAAGCTATATTACCTTGGCAGTGAACTTCCGAAATTGAATTTTATCCTTTATTAACATTCAGTATTTGTTACTATTGGCATTGTTAAAGTTACTTGTCATGCAAAAATGATGAGGGACGTGCTAGTATTTGTTGAGAACGCAATGCCAAGGCCAATTGCAGTTATATACTTGTCCTACACTACTATTGCTTCACATGAAAGCTTGTGTGGTGAAGATTTTTTTTTTAAAATCATTTTCCCCAAAATCATTTTCAACCACGGAAAACGTGGGACCATAACTTTTCCCTACTTTTTAACTACACATTCTCCAAAAAAATCATTTCACTTGAAAAATCTTTGCCAAACAAGCTTTAATACAGTGATGATATTAAATGGGGAAAATTGCTCATTGGTCCTCAACTTATTGATTATGTAGCTAGTTGTTTCCTAACATTTAAAAAGGAGCAAGTTGGTCCCTGACCTTTAATAATAGTTGCACATCAGTGCCTAAAACAGAAACAGTCCATATTCCTGTTAAAATCATTAGGTGGCTCTCCCATGTCCAACTTTATGAAATAAGATTGTTTTGCAACATGGGCTGGCGTCCAAAAATTTGAAGTGATGCATTTTATCGTGAGGGCAATGTGACAAATTAATGAAGAATTGAACAGTCTCTGCCATTGGAGATTGATTGCACAACTATAAGGAAAGGTCAAGGTCTTGCTCCTTTTAATAGATTTGGGCCAAGCCAACTTGATATTTGGACAAAAGATCAGGGACCAATGATGCAATTTCCCTGATTAATTGAGGAAACTATGGTAGCTGTTCTTTGTGATCATCTGTAAGAGAAATAAGAACGGACTGGATGCTTTTACATTTCCTTTTTTCGAATTAGTATTTTATTTGATGAATTTCATTTGTTGTCTTTTGCAGGTATGTCGACACCTTTAACCAAGGTGGTGGAAACCCAATGAACTTGTTCCAGTCCCCTTCTGCTGCTTCGACTAAACCAGCAAGTGTAGCCAAACCGACATTCTTTATGCCTGCACCTGTATCCTCAGTCGAGCAGCAGGTTGATACTTCCACAAATGCGTTGCAAGATACTTCATCTGATAATATAACTCCTCTAACTTCCACTGCAAGCAATACACTCCAATCTCCTCAAACACCTTCTGTGACCATGCAAAGATATGCAAGCATGGACAATTTTTCTAACAGGGGGACAAGTAACAATGATTCTTTTTCTGCTCATTCACGGCGTACAGCATCTTGGAGTGGAAACCATAATGATTCCTTCAGTCCTCCAAATACGGTTGAAGACAGATCATTGTGAGAAGTATTGGGAATGCAACCTTCATTCATGCACGATGACTCTTCTCTAGTACACTCATCGACAAATGGTAGCAACTATTCTGACCATAAGTTGATCTATAATGCCATGCGAGTGTAAATAGCAAATTTTTGCTTCTTCTATTTATAAGACACTACACCCCATAAAATTTCACAAATTCTGTCAGCAGGGACTGTGTTCAAAGGAGACTCGGGTTTTTGTTATCCCCATTCTTTCTTATAAAGTTGCGAGTGTTGACGAATAGAGATAGGTTCCCCAGAAGTTAAAAAACTCTATTCGTTGTATGGGGCATGTGCAAACTGTAATGTTTGTTTTTAAATTTATTGACGAATAGGAACATTATAGAATGAATTCAGGAGATGGAATAAATTTTTATGTTGAAAGCAAGATGGATTTTTTCTTCCATCATTCCCAGTTAATGCTTTGAATAATAGTTATTGGTGAATGTCTTGTGCACAGTTTTACACGCTACGGTATGAATGGTATAATAGACAAAATTTAATCTCAAAAGTCTAATTTATCTAGTCAAACATGACATTTTAGTATTGAACTGGTTTGCCCATTGATTTATACTTATAGCCATGTCAACGAGTCGAAACTCAAAGCTGCTCGAGCAAAACGGTCCGAGCTTTTTTGGCAAAAGTTCAACCAAAAAAATAAGGTTTG